TATGGGCAAAATCTTAGGTCGAAACACCGTCATTCGATTTGTTGGTGTATATCATGCTATAGGCGAAATTCCAGTAAAATGCCTATAACTCCGAACAGAAGGTCTAAGAGGACTTATCCTTTTGGGGTTTTTCATATCTCATTAGAGTCTATTTTATGCATAGAATCCGGACTCAAAGCGATTTGACAGTTGAAAGTGTTCCCTCGTTAGATGGCTATATCTAACATATTTTGACGTTTTCAAAAAAAGGGGTTTTTATGCTATACAATCGCGACCGAAAATTTTTCTTCATTGATTTTAAACGTATGACAACAGATTGTTTATTCTAAGAAACTATCTTTAAATTTTTAAAGAAAAAGAAAGATAGAAAACATGATCATTTCTCAAACGTGATTCCGTCACGAAAAATGTGATTCCGTCACGACACCTTTTTCTGCCCAGAAAATCAGCAATGCATATTTTGCAATTTTTTTTTGTTTTTTTATATAGCTAGGCATCTTAGCTACAACTCTTGTAGAGAGAGTTTTGTCATTACATTTATAGTTGAGCTAAGTTTTTTTACTCTTTGAACAGCACTCAAAATCAAAGTCCATTTTGTGTGATTCCGTAACGTACCTATGTGTCAGTCATAAAACAAACACTAAAACTTGAAATCCTATGAAACTTTCAGCATGCGTAAAGGAACTCAACTTACATAGCCTGTGAATATTTTAAGCCTTATCCTATTTCATTTCGTTGAGATATTACAAAGACACGAGGAAAAAACGTGATTCCGTCACGCTTGGACAAGCCGAAATACAGATCTAAAACTAAACAAGACTTCTTGTGGATGTAGGTGTCAATGCAAAGGTAAAGAGGCGACCCACCCATCCAACACTCCCACATCCGACACAGCGCTCACTTTTTCCAAGTTTTTATCATTATATATTTTTTTAACAGTAAAAAGATGCAAAGCTTAATTCATAGTTGTGATTCGGCGTATGAGTGAATGAGCTTCCCGTGCATTGTGATGATACGATTATTGTTCATCCAGTTCATATATCTTGGAACGAAAAGCTACTGTCGAATAAAATATTTGAATTTGTTATTTCATCCCACAATTAAATCCATGCTCAAGTAAAAAACAAGTAATAAAGTTTCAGTATTTCTATAATATAATTAAATCAAAAGTAGAGAATATATTAATGCAAGTCATGCTTCCAGACATTTTTATTGTCTCCTCGAAATTTTACAGAATGCATTACTTTTAAATTAACTCTCTTGCAAATTTAACTCTTAATGCCTGCTTATACTTCTGTCAACAAAGGAGAAGAAAAGAATAAAAATTTATATAATTTATGATGACTATTTTTATTACTATGAATCTTGAAAGTACAAATCCATATAAATTCTTTGTCATATTCATAAGAGTATTTATCCAAACACATTGGACGGAGCTGAAAATAAAAGCATTTAATGAGAAAACATGAAAAAAAACCCATTTGATTTATCCAAGAAAAAAGTACATAAGAACTTGGCAACACAAGCAAACAACATTGATGTTGCATTCTTATGTTAATGTGTTATACATAGGATTCATTTGCTTTCTTTCCATTTTAAATTAATGGCTGATTAGAATATTTATCGATGCATTAATTGATGCAGGTGCACTACGGTTGTTTATCAAGAAAAGCAAAGTAAAATAACATTGATTTTATTTTTGTTGGTTGGCCAATCATTCATAAATGGCGTCTGCTAATCGAACCAAAGTCATGCGATCATATATTATTGTGTCACCAGCTTCTCTTTCTTCTCTTCCTTCTCGGCCTTCTCCACTTCTTTCAAGAGAAGATACCGAAGATGATTATTATCATCGGCAAGTAGTCTCATATCTTCTTTAATATTGAACAGCGATTATTTATAGGAGAAGAGGTACAGTAGGATTACCATCAACAAGTTGTACTTGTCTGGCAACATTTCTCGCTGGACTAGCTTTAATAGCATTACTTGCTATGTCAATTGTTATTCCAATAATAATCACACTTTCAACTATGGTGAATGAAATGTCATCAACGACAAATACTATTTCTATCCTGACCACATCAAGTAAGTTCACCTTGTTAAATACATACGACCTATAGTTATTTATTATCAGACTTCGTAGGCGTCCTATATTTCCTATATATTTGAAAATGTTCCTATAATGTCCTCTATTTTAGACCTTGGTCCTATATTTCCTATATTCTTCAAAGAAGTTAAGATTTCTTTATTTAAGTGCTATATATACTAAATGGAATTGCGTGCGACGCTTTAGTAATTAATTGAAAATTCTATTGTACAAAACGATCATAATTGAATCTTAAACTAGGCGTAGTATACGTATATCATCATTGAGTTTTACTATACTTCATTTGTGGAAAATTGTTTCAAAATATATTTAAGAACATGAAGTCATTTCAACTTATTAAAGTTGTTTTTTTAAGAATTTTACAGCTATTCTAATATTAGACAAATAATATTTCTGATCATTCTAACTGAAGATAAAAAAATATTGAATCCGTATATTATTAATGAGATTTTATGTGTTTTCTTTTGACGATCTCAACTAAATCTGTTGACTTTTTCTTGTACCAAGTATCGAATGAAATCAATGTTGTTCATTTAGCAATTATTGTGAACTTCTGAATTTCTAGGTATGACGATGACAACTTCAACGACTTCAACGACAACAACAACTTCAACAACAACTTCGACAACAACTTCAACAACAACGACTTCAACGACAAAAACTTCAACAACAACTTCAACAACAACTTCAACAACAACGACTTCAACGACAAAAACTTCAACAACAACTTCTACGACAACAACTACAACAACAGGTTGGCATATTGATAAGAATAATTTGCAAAATTATTGTGATTATTATTATTAGGCATTCCTTGTACAACAATATGTACCTCATATGAAATATGCGAATCAGGTGTATGTGTTGGTATTGGATACCTTTCATGCACTTTGACATGGTCTCGGGATGGAGATGGAGATCTTGTGCTTAAAACACCAAATAATAATTTTATTTACTGGAATAATCCAGGTCCATCACCCAGTACGGATCAAGGACATCTTGACGTAGATGATAAAATTGGAACAGGACCAGAAAATATCTTTTGGTCAAATAGTAGTTCTGTTCCACCAACAGGCACGTATTATGTATGTTTTGAACAATATAGTTTCAATTCATCTGCATCTTTATCAAATCCAATTATAGCTACCGTTAAAGTTCGACGCTCAACTAACATCACATTTATCTTTACACGAAATTTCACGTTTCCTGCAAGGGATTCTTATTATTCTTATTGTAGTTCTAGTTCATTAACTTTCATGGGCTCATTTACTTATCCGTAGCAGCTTTTACATATATTTATGTCGTATACAATAACAAAATAAGAACTTGACTTTTTTGTTTTATTTTGAACAATTTTCATTTTAATCACTTTGTTTGTTTAAAAGATATTCTATACATAAGCCTAGAATTCTTCTCTCTTTTTTGTTCGAAAATAGTTTACTAACAAAGTACCTCGAAAAATAAATGCATTTATCTACAGAGTGTGAGTGAAAAGAAGATCCACATCTCACATTCTTATGTTGAATGTTTTTATTATACTTATTCTCTTTATGGGCTTTTACGGTTTATATGCTCGCTGTTTCTTTATTATGTTTTGTTTGCATTATCAGCACTTTTTAAGTTCCACGGATATGGTTGCATGAAACTTTGATTAAAAAAAAACTTTGAAAACAAGCATTAGGAATTCTCTTCATGCAAACTAGGAGTATGATGTGTACAGCGTTGCCAAACATGTTTTGCCTGGGGGATACAGCTCTAAAGACAAATGACATCAACATTGAATTTTATATCAAATGAAAGCCCGTCAAAAATGGAACTTATCCGTACGAACGAATAAGAGCTATAAAGACTTTTCTCTATCGAACTTTGATAATTTCTAGAAATGCATGAATCGCAGTCATATTAAAGCTTTCTTTTATCATAGAGAACTCAGACTACCTCTGATATAAAAATACAAATCTAGCAAAGTTACCTTTCTTTTGTATCATTCATTAAGCCATAAAAAGCAAGAATAACCTTTCTATATTTAGTAATTTTATATCAGAGATAGTTTGAGTTCTCTATGATAAAGGATAGTTTTGCTATGACTATGGGTTCATGCATTTTCAGAAATTATCGAAGTTCGATAGAGAAAAGTCTTTATAGCCCTTATTCATTCCTTTGGATAAACCCCATTTTTGACTGGCTTTCATTTGGTATAAAATTTAATCTTGATATCATTTGTCATTAGAGCTGTATCCCCCAGGCAAAACATTTTTGGCAACCCTGTATTTCATAATGAAACTCGATATTACAAGTCTAAATTTTTTTTTTGGTTTAAGCGAGAAAAGCCAAGAATATATCGCTTAATATTCTCTTTTTCGTATCAAATATGCCGCTATAATCGATTTGTTTTCTATTACCAACAATAATATAGATGTAAGAAAACAAGTAAAATAACGACTAGCATTTTCAAAATCCAAAAAATGCGATGCAAAACTATAAGATAATTACGATAAGCTATCATTTTTCAAAAAGTAATTAGAGCAATTTTCGTATCACACTCATCGAATAACATTCATGGATCTATTGTTTTTCTTAATGTGGCCATAAAGAATGCAAAAACTAAATACAATTTATACTAAAAAGGACATGAAATGATTTTTATAGTTAGTAGTTATCCAGGTTAAGTAATTTTATTGCGTATTCATGAATTTATACAACGTTGAAATAATTTTTGTCTAATACAGTGGAAGTCAAATGGATTTCCCTCTTTGATATTTTTTTGTGGTTTTATATTCATTCTTCGTTCAAATATCCAAAAACTAGAACTAACGGGTATAGGTGTGGGTGTGAGTGGGTGGGGGTGGGGTGTGGGTGTGGGTGTGTGAGTGTGGCTTAAGAAAAGAGAAGAGCAAACACCCCACATGCACCCCACACACCCACACCCGCACAACAAACTTGAATTTGCAAAATACATTTTCGAAAATGACTAGAAGTTTTAAAATCTTATATGAATACAGATATCATCTCTTTTATACATTATTACATAGATAAAGCAAAATGTCGATCGTAGCCGAATTTCCAACCGGTACTTTGAGTAATGCATCTAATAAATACAAATCAATGGACGATTCAGTGAAACCATTCTATAAGAAAAAAGAAGGTTCTCAAAATCTTGCCACTACTATTAATCGAATACAAACACTAATTAAATTAATAAAGGGACCAGGCGTTCATCCTGTCAGCTATATGTCTGCTGTCGGTTTTAAATATACAGGTGATGGAGACACAGCTCGTTGTAAAGATTGTGAACTTGAAGTATCCAACTGGACATTAGATATGAATCCATTTACTATTCATTCAAAAAGTCAACCTAATTGTCCATTCATACGTTCTATGATACCGATTTCATCATTAAATGTACTAGTGCCTAACATGTTACCAACAAATACTACTGAAAATGCATCTGTACCAGCTGTGGAAGAAAATATTTCTACTTTTCAAAAGATAAAAACGATGGACTTCGGATCAGTATCAAATGCTATACTGGAAGTCGATTCACTTCGACAAGTGCGAATACGTACTTTTTCTCAT